GAAAAACAAACAAACAAAAACTCTCGTAAGGAGAGGGTCTATACCTTGAGAAATGCTTGTTAGGTGTTAAGAAAAGCAGGGTTGGGATCTAAACTGCATATCAGTGGGGCAGGAGTGAGTCCAAAGATTCCCACTGGGAAGCAGTGAGGGGAAAAGTGAGACAATAAAGGCCTGTTTGCCTGAACACAAGCCTAACAGGTTGGACACTGTTCTAGTCCTGGCTGCTGGGTAGGACTGCTGAAGAACTTTAAAGGCTATGATCACGGAAGGTTGAGGCAGAAGGATTCAAGTGCAAGTGTGGCTGGGCAACTTAATGAGACTGTCTTAAAAGGAGTGAGGTGGAGTGGGGATGTAGCAATCCCTAGTGCTATTAAAAATGAAAAACAAAGATGTATCAGTGGTCAACCTTCAACCCAGACCAAAAGTAATCTCTGAGGGAAATAGGCTGGCATTAACATTTAAAGACATAGAAGGCAATTTTACCAAGTAGTCCAGTTTGAGACCACTGGGCTGGACAAGCACAGGTGAGATAGTTAAGAGCCAATCTTCAAGACTCTATTTATAAGCAACAATTTTGAGGTGATTACCTATTGAAGCTTATCTTCTAACCTGACTTAACAGTCTCAATTTTGTTTCCTTTTCCTTGTTGACAGGCTACAGTCCAAAAATAGAAAATAACTCATTAATTTATCTTATATAATTGACTGTACAGCTGTACAGTCTGCAACTTGAGAATTTTACCTCTGTGATGTTCCACAGACAGCTAAACTAGAAAATAATTACTTCAATTCAAACTGTCTTTGCATACCCACAATGCACTCCTTTCAAACTGAGGAATGTTCTAGGCTTCATCCAAAACTTCTCTTAAATTCCACGACTACCTAATACCAATGTAAATTCAAAAATCATATTGTTAACACTAGAGCAAAATGTGAGATCATACATTCTTGTAGTACCTGGAAACTTTCTACTCTTGGTTTTTGAGTGTAATTAAGTGCAACATTCTTTATTTTGTAACATATGCTTTCAAATAAAGGGGAACGTGTATATCCCATACAGCAACTCTGAATTACATTAAACATAAGTCCTGTGGAGAAGAAAAAAGTCATCAAAGCGATTTAAAGTATAATAGCCTGTTGATCCTTCAAAAAGCAGGCCTGGTCGCTTAAAGCCAATGTGGAAATACACTTCAGGATCCATTATTCACCGGGAGATTAACTCAAGAAATGTGTACACTGTTCATAAGTAAACAATCATCTTTTCACCTGTAAAGTTAGCCACAACTGTCTTGCTTTGTGAGGTCTTAATTCACTGTATTTTACTTAACAGTTAAATGTTATCCAAAGATTATGACTTGGGACGTAGGTTTATGCAAGCTCTTATTTCCAAATAAAGTTAATAAACTCTAAAGCCCACATCCCGACGTTAACGAGTGGGATGGAACCAAGAGCAGGGGAGAACGCAATAATCAAACTGTTAAACCTGAACAAAAGCCCAGAAACCTCATGTTCTATCGGGAAAGATGGAAGTAAATTTTAAGAGTTGGCCACTCGCTGCACTTCTATTCAGAAAGCAAAAGATGGGCTTCTAAAAAAGAAAACAGCCTAACTCTCCGACACCGAAGAGCGCTAAAAACGCCAGCCACAGGAGTTTGACAAGAGTCCGAAGGAAAGTCAGAGGGGCAAGGGAAGAAGAGCAGATGAAGGAGACAGAAAAAGGTGAAGCAGGCAAGAAAAGCCTCTGGTGTGAGCCCGGCTGCCCAGCTCTTTATGCACCCAGGACCGCGTGGGGCCTCTGTCGCCTCGCGCGCATCAGGGGCCGGGATGCAGGGGGAGCCCCCCACGGCCGACGGCAGGAGGCGCGGGAGGCGGAGGGAAGAGATCTCTGCGTACAGCCATCGCTAG